AGGCTGGGATCCCGAGCCCTGAGTCAGCATTAGACCACGGTGCTGTCATTATTGTTTTTAAAATGTTTAAATAGGTCCAGCCGCTACTCCGAGTTCTGAGAAATTGCAAATGCCGGATCAGTGTTTTTGAAAAGGTATGAAAGAACCAGTGACTCCGCCCCGACCAATCAGTGACCGACAGTGTTTGTCATGTCACGTTTTGGTCCCTACTCGACCCAGTTGGAACCATAGAGCCAAGGATTCTGAAAAAGAGACCAGTTCTACATACCGTTAGTAATGGAAGAGGGGCGTTACTGTATCTTTTTTTGTTTTTCACACTTTGCTGTGCTCCTAAAGCAACACCCTACACAGAAAGAGATGCATTTACACAAACATACACATGTCTTCATTATTCCTCTTTTGATGCATGAATTCACCACCATTTTTCTTTATCCACCTTTGCACTCTGACATCCAAATGTGATCAGTAACAGATGCTCAAACACATAAATTCATGTGCAGCCACGTAGAGTGTGTGATCTGCAGGAAATTATGCACTCTGCATCCACATACTCCGTTCATCACTCCCTCACACTCCTCCCTTTGCCCCTGTAGCTGTGTGATAACCCCAGAGAGTGACACAAGAGGACAGCCAGTGGCTCTGTGAATGATGCTGCTGCAGATTATGTAAGAGCCATAGATTAAGGGAATATCCCACAGATCTCTGCAGGCTCACAAGAAGGAGGGCAAGCGCCACAATGAAGCAGAGTGAGGGCTTAGAAAGCAAGCGAGGTTCGTTTTTATTGAGCGAGATGTAGAGATGAACGTTAGGTTTGTGTGTTTGGGGGTGTGTGTGTGTGGGGGGGGGGGGGGGGGGGGGGTATAGGGTTACACTGAAAGAATAGGAGAAAGAGAGAGTAGGAGTTGGAGGGATGCATCATGAAAAATGACTGCTTTCACCAAATATGTAGGAGGGAGGACTTCATGGCTGAGAAAAAGAAAAAGAAAAAAAAATAGAGACATATCACCAAGAATAGAAACAGTCATGAGTTAAATTACTTTGACCTGTTTTGACTGTCAACTAACACCACAAGGGAACATCTCACAACCAAAGGCGCACAAATATAGCAAAGCATACAACTGTAAACAGAGTCGGTAACAGAAGCACTGAATGCATTGATGCATCGTCAGCTGTGTGAGGGAGTAGGTGATGTGCTACTGGATGCAGGGAACCCACTGAATATGCAACATTTGCACAAGAAAGAGAAAAGAAAAGGATGCTTTAACTCACGACTGGTTGCTTAGAAATTCTGTTTACAAGGTGTCTGTGTTTTTAGGTTTCAAACTCAAGTAGAAGCCTTGATAAATAGACTCGCATAAATGCTTTTTTTTTTTTGCTTCTCAGCATGATTAGTTAGTATTTGTATGAACTAATCCTTCCATGTCTTTTGACTTTAGTGTACATAAAAAAATCATTAATATCTTTAGGATTCTCTTTTATTGAAAGTTATTACTAAAAGATGGCTTCCTTTTATGTCACATGAAGTGCCTTTAGCTGCTTTTATGGCATTTAGGTGGTAAACATTTGCATAAACTTTGTTTTTGACAAAGGCAAATCTATTTGTGATCAATTTCTTGTCCAGTACAAAACACGAACAGCCCATTGTTTGTGTTTTAATTTCCTTTCGTTAAGAAGGGGAAACATCTTAAAATGTAAATAAATAAAATACTTGGGACACTTGGCAGGCTTTTGTGTTGTACATAGAAAACATGCTAAGTTAATTCATTTGTTTGTGTGTGATTGATATGGTGTGGGAGGGAAGGGGTCGGGTTGTTCTATGGATTGTCTTTTTTTTTTGCTGTATGTTAAAAAAATTAATAAATAAAATATGCTGATTAAAATATGTAAATAAAACTGTATCAAAATCATAATAAAATGCAGTAACCATTTGCATCAAGTGACTATTTTCCTAATAGAAGAGGTAGGCATGTGGCTATGGGGTCTTACTTAACCCTCCTACAACCCTTTTGCCAAAATATCCATTTTTAAAACTGAGGCCTTTTAGGCTACTTGGAGCCAAGGGTCAAAGTCACGTCTTTCAAATTGTCTATGAACAAACAGGATTAGCAAACAATAAGAGGGGGAGGGGGCCCAGATGGGGTAGAGGTAGTGCAGCCGACTTGGGACGAGAAAGTGGCTTGCTCAACTCCCCACCATGCCCACATGCCATGTTATCCTTGAGCAAGACATCCAATCCCTGATTACTCCCCGGGCGCCCACATAGTTGCCCACTGCTCCACCTGAGTGTATCTCATGTGTGATGGGTTAAATGCAGAGAACTAATTTTGTCATTGTATGGAAACATGCAATGATGACAACACATAGTACTTTATACTGTAAGTTTCATATTTAAAAAGTATGAGAAAAAAAGGAAGTTTTATTTTTTATTTTTTATTTACAAACAATTAGCATGTCTTTTTTTCAGTCAGATTTTTTTTTTTTTCATTCAACTTTTATTTATACAGGTTAATCCCATTGAGCCTCGGGGACTCATTTACAAGAGAGACCTGAATTTAACAGAGTGATGACAACAGTGGACAACAAAGACAACAACAGACAATCATAAATGATGCGTACAAATTGAGAATAACAATTGAAAATAAAATGGTATTAAAAAACGTAACCAAAAAAAAACAGCTTAGGTTGTAAGGCGATGTCAAAAACTAAGAACAAGAACATGTCTCCATTGTTTTTTTTTTGTTTTTTTTTTCCCAGGAACTTATTTAAATAATTAAGTTGATGTGTCTCATAGTTTATATCCTACTCCCCACTTTTAATATACCATATTATACCATACCACTTTATTTATAAAGCACTTAAAAACAGCAACAAGGCCAACCAAAGTGCTGTACAGCAAAAACAATCAAGCAAAAGACATAGCAACAAATAATATATCTAAATAGATAAAATATTAAAAAACTATATGAGTAACATTATTGAATACAGATAAGTTAAAATCAACTCACACAGTGTCAAAAGTCATGGAATAAAAGTGAGTTTTCAAATGAGACTTAAAAAAAAACCAGTGAGAGAGGGAGCCTGACTGACATTCAGTGGTAACTCATTCCACAGTTTTGGACCTGCAACAGAGAAAGCCCTGTCACCTCTGATCTTAAATTGAGTGCCTGGAACCAATAAAAACATCTGGTCTGTTGACATCAGCGAGTGCTGTGGGGCATATGGCTGCAGCAGATCAGTGAGAAAGGAGAGGGCAGAACAGTTCGGAGATTTACAAACATACAGAAGTATTTTAAAATGAATTTGAAAGTGAATCAGGAGAAAGTGCAGGGAGGCTAGAATGTATATACAAATATGTACATTGTGAAAAAGTAGAAAAACACATGCACCGTGTCCCTCATTTTATATCATATAAAAATATACACCCACTGAAAGAGAAAGATGGACACATGTCAATGCAAGATCAGAATTACCAATTTCATTTAATCATTGATATGAGTACTGTGTGTAAACACCTTGCACCTATCTATACATCTAAACAACATTTATACATCAAGCAGTAGATGCCCATTGTGCCTGTGTCAAAATGTGTTTGGTGAACTTTACAGCAAAAGAAGAAGTTGATTTCTTTGAAAGAAACTAAGCGAGCCTGCTGCCATCACTAAAAAATGTCTTGCCTTTTGGATCAGTACACACTGTACTATTTACAAAGGCAATGCATGCAAGGTGAACTGATGTTCTGAGACTCATTTCATGAAAGCACACACCTTGTTATTTATTGATGACTGAACTTATGTATGTTTGGAGGGTCATTATTACTTTAAGTAAAATATCTGCTCACATCTTCATGCTCACTGATGTAGTTCTCCTTTCTCTCACAAGTGAACATTGAAAATGCACATATTTATTGCTTTACGTATTTTTAGTTTTATCCAAACAGTAAATAAATGAATGGATCTGTTTTATTAACCTTATGCTGCCAATGTGTAACATAAAGGTTGTGTTTGTAAATTATAGGGACATCATTTTCAAATAATGTGTATGGTCTATTAGAATCTACACTGAAATTAATATTATTGTTCAATGACAAAACTGATTTTTTATTTTATTTTATTTTATGAAGTAGACTAAATCAATGCTAACAAAGATACTATGGCTTTCCCCAATGCCATCTTACTTTATATCACATTTGAAAATGATAATGTAATGTGATTAAGCAATGCCTCCATTAGGCATGCAATCTCTGTGTTCTCAGGGTTTCACATAAAAATATGCTATTAATTTTAATGTAGCTCTATAACTGTTTATTATGCTCATCTAGTAAATAATTTAGTGAAAAGCACTGTTCGATTTACTGGAATTGCCTTGAACCATCAAGATGTGATGATTTGACTTTGGTGATTCATCTGTTGGTGCAGTGTTGCTTTCTCTGCTGTTTCACTGCAGGAAACTTGCATTGCATGACCCATTTTTGAAATGTCCTCCTTCTTTCGTTTAAACAGATTCTGATTTACAACTACTGGAGCAGGGAGTATGTGATGAGATGACAGAAGTTTACTGAAAGTTGTTGAGGCAGGGGAAATAATGTGGTGATATGTTGAGTTTCTGTTTTAGTATGCTTCGTTTCTAACTTACAGATTAATCTATACACACTGAAAACAAACTTAGCCAAGGGGAAAACATTGATTGTTTTGCTCACTGTATTTCTGTGTACCTTATTGTTGTCTCAACATAATTCTGCATGCAAACTCATATTACTAAATGTGCTTATTGATCCATAAATGGTTAGATATTGCACTATGAGAATTATTTATGTGTAATGTTTTCCACTATATAAAGTGTTGCTCATTTCCTTGCAAATGCATTTTGTCCTAATGGCATGTTTTATGACTCTGGGTATGACATAACTTGTTTTATTAATAATGGCTTCAAACTACACCATTTGTATTTTAGTATGAATCTCCTCTTATAGATGTATTTTCTGTCTTCTTTGTCTCTCGAAGGTGGATGCCAGTAGTGTGCTGAAGAAGAGAATGAACTCTGCTCCGCTTTTTGAGCGCCCTGCCAAAACATTCCCGAACCCACCTGTCAATGCCCAAGCTTTCCTGCAGCAAGGCTCAGCAGTACCAGCCAACAACGTTCTGACTGGCACCAGCATCATTGACAAATACTCGCGCATCCTCTTTCCCCTTTCATTTGGCGCCTTTAACCTGGTTTACTGGATCGTCTATCTCACCAAGGACACCATGGAGATGTCAAGGTGAACAGATGGCATGGCTATCACAGCTCATTGTGGAGGTTATTGCACTAAAACAAAGTGAGGGTGAGAGTGTTTTGATGTTGTCTTACTATAGACAGAATACATTCATTTATTTTTTTTATTGTTGATTATATAGGTACTCAAAACAAATGTCAGTGATTGGTCAATTGAAAGTGATAGTGTTGACTTTTCATGGGGAAAAAAAGTTATAATAAGAGAAAGATTTAACATTGAATGTTTGTTCTTTTAATTTACCACAAATGATGGCACTTTAAATGCTATTCATAAACAAGCGTGTGCACAACTAACAAATTTTCGAAGTCACTTCTGTTGCTAGATAAAATATCAGCTCAGCTCGGTGCTATGGTGACATCATGAGCTGTGGGTGGCCTTCTGGCATCAACAAATCTTCTGTAGTCTTCTGTAGTTTTAAACTTTAACAGAAAGCTGGGCAATACACTAATAAAATAAGAACGTTTAGTTTATGAATTGCCTGTGTGTTTGTTTGTGTGTGTGAGTGTGTGGGGGTGGGGGTGGGTGTTGGAGGTAAGGGCTCCCACAAACTCGGGCAGACCTCAGTCCATGCGGAAACTGTGCGCACTGTCTGCAAACGGTTGAGACTTCATACTAGAGCGTTCACCCTGACTGGCTGCGGCCCAGCTCTGCAGGCAAGGGCCATTAACCTTCGGGACAAATTGAGGTCGCCGACTGGTCATTTGCTGACATGCCTACTGGACTGATTGGCAGGTCCTCAAAAAAGAAAAAGAAAAAAGAAAACAAGAGCTGACAGCAAGTGTCACCGGTGTTCTGTGATTATATGTTGTTAATTATAAGTTCTAAAAAATTAAAAATAAAAAACAGAGAGCGCTGGCCCTGCAGCCCACACATCAGACTGACCCATCAGGAAATCTCCAGACTTTCCCACAGCCACGCTGGGCCTGATTTTAATTTGTTTGTGACAAATTCTTTCATTTCTCACAATTTCAATCATGGCATCAATGGACGAGGAGGAATAGATTGTTTGCTTCTTGGAAAAAAAAAAAAAATAAATCAAAAGAAAAGGCCATTAAACCAGACCATGGATGAAGAAGGGAAATTTAATACATTGGTGTTGCATACAAAACAGTTTGTTGCCGGGCAGTTTATTGTGCAACACCGAGTACGCGTATGTGTTCGTAAAAATTGATCTTTGCATGGACACGCCTTGCAGGCATCCGCTTCGAGTTTAATCCAGTACGTGTGGCTCTCTGTGGACTGAGGTCCACCCGATTATGTGGGAGCCTTTAAGTTGGTATTGGAATTGACTTAACCAATCAGAACAGGTGTGTATTCCTGATTGTGCATTACCACAAGTGCATTTAGGGTGTTTTAGCTGTACTCATTTTGTTCCCTTTGCACTGCCTTTAAATAGGGAAATCCCTAAAGGCATGTGCTGAGACAAGTCAGAAGACATGACATTGTTGTCATGCATCAGGAAGGCTCTGTATTACTAAACCTCTTAGTGACACTCACTTAACTGTTTCTTCTAATTGATAAGGACAGTAATCTTGAGAGGAGATCCTGACAGACATGTGTGAAAACAGTAGTGATAGCTTTTTACTTGAGGAGATCAACAGGACTAGAAATAATTATATGTCATTGATGTATAGTGGGACAGCACGGTGGCACAACTGGTAGAGCTGCTGCCTCTCAGCGAGCAGGTCCCTGGTTCAAACCCCGGTCCAGGGGCCTTTCTGGGTGGAGTTTGCATGTTCTCTCCGTGCATGCGTGGGTTTTCTCCGGGGACTCCGGTTTCCTCCCACAGTCCAAAAACATGCATGTTAGGCTGATTGGTAACTCTAAATTGTCCCTAGGTGTGAGTGAGAGAGTGAATAGTTGTTTGTCTCGTTTGTCTCTGTGTGGCCCTGTGATGGACTTGCGACCCGTCCAGGGTGTACCCCGCCCCTCGCACAATGATTGCTGGACATGGGCACCAGCGACCCCCATGACCCAAAATGGAATAAGCGGGTAAAGAAAATGGATGGATGGATGGATGATGTATAGTGTTCATATTTATTTATGGGTGGCACAGTTGGGTAAAGCTGCTCTTCCTTTCTTGGTCACGGGGGTCACTGGTGCCCATGCCCAGAAGTCACTGTGTAAGAGATGGGGGACAAGTCACAAATTCATCACAGGGACACATAGAGACAAACAACCATTTACTCTCTCACTCACACCTAGGGACAATTTAGACTTTAGAGTTACCAATCAGTCTAAGATGCATGTTTTGGGTCTGTGGGAGGAAACTGGAGTACCTGGAGAAAACCCATGCATGCACAGAGAGAACATGTAATGTCCACCAAAAAGGGTCACCAGCCAGGTTTTTATCCGGCAACCGTCTTGCTGAGAGGCATCAGCTCTACCAACTGTGCCACTGTTCCACCCTTTATTTAATATAATAAATATTTATTAATTGTAAATATTCCCCATTAAGATGATCTCAGGCATAATCTCTCTCTCTCTCTCTCTCTCTCTCTCTCTCTCTCTCTCTCTCTCTCACTATCTATCTATCTATCTATCTATCTATCTATCTATCTATCTATCTATCTATCTATCTATCTATCTATCTATCTATCTATCTATAATTATACAGTATATTTTACATTTTAGGGCACCATGGTGGCGCAACTGGTAGAGCTGCTGCCTCTCAGCCAGCAGGTCCCTGGTTTAAATCCAGATTCGGGGGCCTTTCTGGGTGGAGTTTGTATGTTCTCTCTGTGCATGTGTGGGTTTGCTCCGGCTACTCTAGTTTCCTCTCACAGACCAAAAACATGCATGTTAGGCTGATTGATAACTCTAAATTGTTCCTAGGTGTGAGTGAGAGAGTGAACGATCGTTTGTCTCGTTTGTCTCTATGTGGCCCTGAAATGGATTTGCAACCTGTCTAGGGTGTACCCCACCCCTCGCACAGTGATTGCTGGACATGGGCACCGGCGACCCCTGTGACCCAAAATGGAAGAAACTGGTAAAAATATAATGTATGGATGGATGGATGTTTAAGTTTAGTTAAGAGGACGGCTTGCTAAAAATGTGCAAGGGGCTACAAATAGATCATAATCCAGTATATACTGCAGGTTGTGGACATGTCTTTTCAATAACTTGTCAGGTATTAATCATTAGGTTGTTAACAAGAACTGCTGTCCTTCCTCCTTTGCTCGAACTGCTCTGCCTGTTCGTACAGTTTGAAAGCTGATGTAAGAGGTGGAGTGTGGAATTTGTTCCTGCAGTCATGTGTCAGTGAAACATCATTCTTCATTCCTGATATATCTTCAGTGCTCCAAGCTAATCTGCTATATGTACCAGTGAAAGGGCATTCTTCATACCAGTGTGACAAAAAATGCTTGGTTATTTGTCTTGTTTTAACCCTTGATTTTTTTTTTTTTTTACATTTTTGTTATGTCAGTTTGCCTGAATGTGTTGTATTTTGTTCATTGTTTGAGTTTCTTCCTTGTGAAACAACTTATTATGATTTTGTATCATCACTGTAGAATTAAAATTATTTTATTATTCAAATACATGTAACTCAATCCATCCATTATCTTTTACCCGCTTCTTCCGTTTTGGGTTGCGGGGGTCACTGGTGCCCATGTCCAGCCATCACTGTGTGAGAGGAGGGGTATACCCATGGACAGGTCTCCAGTCCATCTCAGGGCCACACAAAGATAAATGAGACAAACAACCATTCAAGGTTCAAGTTTCTTTATTGTCATTCGCATCACATGCGGTATATGAGGTGGAAAAAAAACTATACTCAAGGTCTCAGTTACACCCCAAAATATCAAAAATATAAAGTATACTAGAAACTGTATACAATGATCTCAGATATATGCCAAACAACAATAATGTGATATAATCGTCTTCTTCTTCTTTCGGCTGCTCCCTGCGTTAGGGGTCACCACAGCGAACTAAGTCACATGAAGACTTGGCAGGTATTTTTAAGCCAGATGCAATTCCTGACGCAACAACAGACCACCAAGCTACCACAGCCCTCTGTGTGGAACAGAGAGCTGCTATCTAGGACACCCGGAGGAACAGATGGTGGGGTTTAAGTCCCTTGCTCAAGGGCCCAGAGTGGGACGAATGAGGGTGGAGGCAGATGTGTGTGCTTCACCTACCCCACCCACATTTTTAGTGTTGTCGGTACCAGAGCTTGAACCGGCAATCTTGCGATCACAGGCCCACCTTTTCTAACCTCTGTGCCACCACTCCAATAATAATGTGTTATAATACAATTTATTAAACAGCAGTCTGAATATGAGTCTGCTGTGAGCAGATAGGTATGAATACAGCAGCAGCATGGATAATCAGCAGCCCAGATAAAGAGATATCACCAATTCAAGTGGAATTACAGTGGTTTTACTGGGGTGGTGGGGGTGGTGGTGGTGTGTGTGTGTGTGTGTGGATAGGTGTGTTTGTTCCTTCTGAAATCCACAATCATGTTCTTCACATTGATATGAAAGTTGTTCTTCCTGCGCCAGCTCTCCAGGTCTTCCACCTCCTGCCTGCAGCCGGACTCATTGTTTATGATGCATCCCACCACCACTGTATTGTCTGCAAATTTTCTTACTCATACCTTGTGACAATTTAGAGTTACAAATCAGCCTAACTTTCATGTTTTTGGTCTGTTGGAGGAAACTGGTGCACCCAGAGAAAACCCCCACATGAACGGAGAGAACATACAAACTCCACCCAGAATGGCCCCCAGGCTGGGATTTGAACAGGTGACCTTCTCGCTGAGAGGCGGCAGATCCACCAACTGCGCCACTGTGATGCCCTTGAACTCTAATCAGTATCTTACGTTCACTTTTAAGAAAACAACATCAGTCAGTTAGTTATCTGTAGAAAAAAGATCAGTTAGTAAACTTTATTTTTTTTCCATTGCAGTTACATTTATAGACAAGTACAGATTAGTTTTACATACTGCATATATAGTAATATATATGTATATATGTATGTATGTA